TTGTTTCCACATGAACTTGACGTAAAAATACAATCTTGAAGCACAATTTTGTAAGGTGTGTTGTAATTACACCTCTAACTGACTATGATGAGAACTTACATGAACCGTGAGTGCAACTCCCTTGACCATCGGGCGCAACCAACTTTATTATTTATGAATCTTTGGATGACCATAAGTAGATGTTATTATGAAATCCTACTTCTCAATGTGTGCAGAACTTTTCAGTCGTCTTTACTGATATTCCAGGTGTTACCTCCACGGTAGTCATAAGATTGACTTAGTGACGGACCAATCTTTCAAACGGAAATTTATACCCAGTTCCTGTTCACCTTAGGGATGTCATTGACCGAGAGGTAGACAGTAGACATATATTAAAAATATAGATCATGTGTACTTCAGTATCTTCATATTGTTCTCCTGTGTCATGGTTTAAGAAGGAAGGATAATTCACTATAGATTGCTATTGATTCAGAGGCCTTAATGCTTTTTCGTCGGTGGGTGTGCTCTGATCCTATGCCTTTATAGATTGCGTTATCTAACAAATTTTATGACTCTTCCTTCTTTTCAGAGATTGATATTGCTCAGGCATATCATCAAGTAATGTTAGATCCTTCTTTATATTCTAAGCAGTTACCCGCTTTTCCTACACACCAAGCTAGGCACCTGATGCAATATAGAACTATGCCCTTCGGTTATGCGTAACTGTGTGCTACCTACGTGAGACGATGAGAAAGGGTCTTGGGTATTATGCCAATGTTCAGTGTTTAGTTGTGATACTTTTACGTAATGACATCCCACGTGGCGCGCGTAACATATCCAAACATTAAACAATCCAGTTTTTTGGTAGGTTTCGATCACATGGCCTCTCTGCAAGCCGAAGGTGGGACGGATAATTGCTTCCTGTGGGTTATTACAAGTTTAGAATTCTTGGACTGTTACTTCTGCATTACTTACTGCAGCCTCTCCCCAGTATAGATTGAAGCATCGCTTATTTATGACTCTTTTAAATTCACCCAAACCAAGAAACTCATGTGTAGCTTTCTTGGTTCTGTAAATTTTTATGCACGGTTTATCCCGAACCTTACTGATCTTACAGGATCTTATCCGACTTCCTTAAAAATTTGGGTGAAGGAACCTCTTGAACTTCCGACGTAGCTCGGGGAAAAATTTTAAATGAGATTAAAAGTATCTTTTCGAAAGACCTAATACTTAAGATTCCAGATATAATTAAAAACATTTTGTTTAAAGAACTGATGCCTCCAATACTGGCTTAGGTGGGGTTTGTTACTACAATACCATGTTTGGTACTCCCTTCCATGTATGCTTCCTAACCCGGAAACTCCTTCCCACAAAAAACGAGATACCCCCACCATAGAAAAGGAATGTTTGGCCCTTGTGTGGGGTTTATCTCCAAACTTAAATTTTTTTTGCTGGGAAAAGAATTGATTTTAAAAAACGGACCACAAACCTTTGATAATACCTAGAAACTTTTAAGGGAACCAACGGGTCGCCTCTTGAGGTGGACATTGGCACTCCGGCTTTTAAGTTCCATATTGTGTATATCAATGGTTCATCCAATTATTTATTTCTCTGACGGGTTTAAAGTCGTGGCAGTCAGTAGAAGATTTGTTGCCTTACACGACTTCCAACATGTTAGAATTTTTTCCTCGCCTATTCTTCTTTTACCCCTTTGGACTATAAGTTTGGTATGGGGGAGTGTGAGGGAAAAAGTTCAATAGATTAGGAGTAGCGATATGTAACAATGTTTCATTGCCGGCTACTTGTTAAGGTAGGGTCAGTCTAGCTCCCACTATCCCTTCCCTCCTTCTTCCCCCCCGAAAGGTGACGTGTGGGGCTCTAGTCAAACAGTAATCACTAGACTCACAGCTCCCAGCCCCTACTGTAAGTACATGGGCCTGCCTTGTATTTTTAGTGGATTTATGGTTGAAAAACTTCACTTTTTGACAATAATAAACTTGTCCTTTCAGTCTTGCTTTTAAGTTGATGTTGTTAATAATCACCACGTCTTTTAGGTATTGTACTTATCATGGAGAGTGATTTCTTAAGCAGTGGGTTACCTGTCTATCTTTCCAAATTGGATGACAGAGGGGTTCACTGCCAATCAACGAGTAGAATTGAAGGAGACGGACTAACGTGTTGAGATGTCCCAAATTTTGATCCACTTACCTGTTTGTGTATGCAAGTAGCAGGATATAACCCTCATCATTGCAGTGGAGGGAAAAACCCGCTTTCCTGTCATCTGGAAGGATTATGGACGGCTAGAAAATCTGTGAAGAACGAGCCGGTGGGTTGTCACCAACACCAGACACCCACGTTTTATATACATTTATATTTGCGTTGAATTCAGTTATTTATATTTTTCATTTTTCATTTTCTTTAATGTAGGATTAATACTTCATATTTAAGTGTTTTATATTTTATATTTTCTAAATAATAAAGTGTTTATGTTTGTCAGTTTTATTCTTTTTCTATACATTAATTTTCCTGAGGAGGAGCCCGCCTTGGTAATTATGTCTGAGTTGTTACAGGGCTGAGTAAGTTTCACAGTCACGAACCTCTGAGGTTTTACAACAAAGTAACATATGTAAGATATTAAAGAGAGGTGTGTGTGTAGGACTGCATTTTCTTGGATGTTAGAAGGCTTTTAAACATAGTTCTGCAAACAGATTACTGCAAAAAAATAAAAGGAGCAGGGCTGGAATACCAGAAAAGGCACTTGAATGTCATGAGAAATCTTTACAGGAAGACGGCAAATGTAGCCCCCATTTTTATGAAAGGAGACGGAAACGAGGACTTAGCCAGTGTCACTGGGGTGTATAGTATGCAAAGTCATAAAGAAGATTATCAGGAGGAGAGTGGTGGAGCACCTGGAACGGAACAGGTGATTGTATGTGACGAGGTGTCACAGTGGGGCCTGTAACAAGCGCGGGTTCCACAAGGTCAGGCCTGGGATCAGTGCTGTTTCTGGTAATGTGAATTGACATGACGGAAGGGATTAGATTCACAAGTGTCAACTGTTTGCAGACGATGTGAAGCTAATGCGGATAATTCAAGTAAACGAGGATCAAGTAAGACTACGAAGAGACTTGCACAGGCTGCAAACCTGGTCAATATATGGCTTCTAGGTTTAACCCCCCCAAGTGAAAAGGTCACTAAGCTTGAGGAAGGTCAAAGAGCCCGCAGACGGAGTACTAGCTATGGTTGTCAAAGGCTGCAATCCCCAAAGAAAAGGATCTTGGAGCGATTTTCGTACCAAACACATCCCATGAGGCTCACATCAACCAAATAACTTCTGCAGCATATGGGCGCCTGGCAAACCTACGAACAGAATTTCGACACCTAAGTAAGGAGTCATTCGTTTACACCCTGTACGTCAGGCCCATATTGGAGTATGCAGCACCAGTATACAACCCACACTGGGAGAAGCATGTCAAGAAATTAAGAAGAAAGTGCCCAAAAGGGTTTTCAATAAAACTAGTCCCGGAACTAAGGGGTATGTATTGTGAGGATAGGTTAAGGGAATCAACCTGACGACTTTGGAGGACAGGAGGGAAAAGGGAGGTCATGATAACGACGTATAAAATACCGAGAGAAATTGACAAGGTGGGGTAGGGCAAAATGTTTCAGGAATGGGACACAGCAACAAATGGGTGACAACCAAAAGTTGGGAAAAATCAGGTGAGTAACAGGGTATGTTAGGAAGTATTTTTTCAGTCAAAGAGTTGTTTAGAAGTGGAACAATCTGGGAAAAGAGGAAGGATGGGGGGCAGGAAACCTATTCATAGCTCAAAGAGGTACGATAAAGCCCACGGAGCCGGAGAGAAAGTGGACCTAGTAACAATGAACACAGAAGCAGGCCAGGAGCGGTAACTCGACCCTGCAACCACAAATAAGTGAGTACAACTAACGCGCATGTGCACCCCACACACAACCCCCAAAAAACCACAAAACCCCACCCACACACCCC